TGGAGTTTTATCGAATCTCCTTTTGCTCCTAGATTAGAAGCACGGTGGCGCAGATGTTTAGGCAAGGAGGCAAAAAGCGAACAGTATTCCAGCCGTGGTTTCTCATGTGTGTTTACGGAGTTTGTACACATGAACGTACTGGATAGGCATGTACCTTATATGCGTTGGTTGACCTGCAGAAGATCCCTCCCTCTCTAGCAGTGACAGACAGCCCGATGCTAAGTCGTCAGAACTCCCTCTCGCCAGAAGCCCCACGGAGTTCCAATGCCGTCCACTAAAGTGCCACCAATTTCCCCTTTCCTACCCCTTCCTTACCTACCAGAAAACCCAAAATCTGCAGCACAGCCTCAGCCGGGCCGCGACACAAAACCGTACACTCACATCGCCCGGCTTCAACTCCGACGAGTGGCATTGGCGGTGAGATGAACGTCTATAGGCCACCCGTCTAGCTTGATCTCACTTGGGGGGTGGGAAAGAAATGCCGCGCTCGTGTCATGATGGTGCATATTGCAAAAACGTTATATTTCAAGACAATACACAGGCGGTGAAAGGGCCTAGACCGCAACATGATGTGAAACCAGAAATCTTTTTTTTCCTCTTTAAAACATTACTCGTGTGTGTTCATTGTGTTCCTCTCCCTCTTACCGCTACAACAAGGCAGCTAAACTCATACCAAACATGACGACGGCCACCGCCCACGTGCTCGGTGGCGCCAAAGAACCTGCTGCGTTGCCCAGCCCGAACGGCAGGCCCTGCGTCTTGAAGGTGACGTTCTGCGGGATAGTGGCATTATAACACTGCCCATTTACAATGTCCAGGTTTGTCAAGTCATCCGGCACTCTGAAGAACATGTAGTTGTTCTGAGGGATATCTTTGAAGCCCTCGGTGTTGTAGGGGAATTTGTTGCCAGAGTCGGTGGCACTGGTGTTTCGCAAGAAGATGCACTGGACCTGGCCCGGGTAGTCCTTGTACAACGCGGGATACGCCTTCATGACATCGGAGTTGGTCGTGTCGGCTACCAGGACGAACTTTCGCTGCGGGAAAGTCTGGAAGATCTTGTCGAGCAGGAATCTTCGGATGGACAGCGTCGCTGAGACATCAGAGAAGTTGAGAGGACGAGTGTCGAAGCTGCCCAGGGGATACGTCTTGTAGATGAACTCCATGTAGTTGCGCGTGACCTGCTCGGGGGTCGTAGTCAAGTAGTGGAAGTGGAAGTCGGGGATGGATGCCGACCAGTTGGCGTAGATTTGGGGCATGTTCTCCCACTGGGTGAAGGGGCGCGCAAAGGAGTTGAGCAGGCCCTCTTTGGGCTCGTAGATCTTGGTGACGCGGAGAATGTCATCAATGTCGGAGATGATGGTGAAGCCCGTGGGAGGGACGAGATAGGCTGTCGCGTTGCCCGTCAACGTGCCGTTGGCGTACATGTTGAGAGTCTGGATTGACGATGTGGCATTGCCTGGCAACATGTGGCCGCCCGTCGAGCCTGTGGTGTTGCGCAACTTGACAAACGCGTCAAAGTCACCTTCGGCCGTTGTCAAATAGGGCAAGTTGATCGATTGTGCGCCGCCACGAGCATTGACGGCTCCTCCGCTGGCACCAGGTCTCACGGAGACGTCGTTGACGAAGTTCATGGTGACATTTTGGTCATCTTGTTGGACGACGAAAATGGACTCGGTGACATTGCGTGCCTGGGCTTGTTGGTCGGCAGGCAGGTCTTTGATGTCGACATCGATAAGGAAAACATTGGCCAAGTCGTCGACCTTGGACTGGCTGATATTGGGCTGTTTGAAGACGTTGCCGTGAATGCGGACATTCCAACCTTCATCGGTCCAGTTTCCGTAGGCCCTGCAAACCCAGAATTAGCTTGTAAACATACACACAGCGACAGGTTATTGGTACTCACGGCAGATTCAAGATCTGGGTAGGCTTTGCATCCAGGTCACCATCGCTGATACCAAGAGAACTGAGGACCGCGGTGCCAGTTGGGAAGCCCTGGAAGAATGCAGGAATGCCAGAAGCTACCCAGGAGGAAGCATCACCGAGGATACTGTGGACATAGCTGTCGATGTCGTCCGTCAAGCTAGGCTCTCTTTTCACACGCGTCGGCGGGGGTGTGATCATTGGGTGGGCGGGATCGACCGGTGCAGGTGCAGCCAGAACGGCTGGGAGGAGCGCCAGAGGCAGCAGAGCTGCACGGAACAGGGCCATGGCGGAATGGGATTGTGTGGTTTGCGATGTTGTGATCACCGCGTTTGGTAAGGTAGCGACGATGATGTCAGTCCCGAGCGGTGACAGCAGCTAGAGATGCAACAATGGCAACGATAATCACAGAAGAATAACTCGAGGCACCAGCCCAGAACCAACAAAACCGACTACTCCGTGCTGAGGTTGTTCGGAAGAAACGGCTGTGGCGCGGAGAAGAGAAAGAAAAGAATGGGTGGGAGAATGTTGAGATCGGCGGTCGTTGTCTCCCACCTAGTCTCTTTAGGCGTGATGACCGTGCTTACCTCTGCTTAATTAAGGTAGACCGCACTCCGTAGATAGCAGGTGGCAGCCCATTGTTTCTCTTGTCCCAGATTCCCAGTTGCCCTGAGTTGGCTGTGAGATGAAGCCTGTTCTGGTTAGCTTGCAGATTGTGACGTCAAGTGGCTGGGAAGAGCATAGTCCGGGATTGACACATTGGTGGGTTTCAGATCTACAATGGGGCAGCGAATCAAGCTTCTTAGGTGGGGCTATAAGCACATGCTGTAGCGAATAGCTCCGCGTAACCTGCGATTACTGCAGCCCAGAGCCACAATCGAAATGGCACTGAACAATTGGGATGCCCCTTGGTCTGAGGTCAGATAAAATGCTTCTCTTCGGTGCACAGCGTCTGTTTCAAGGATTGTCCGTGAAGCCTCTGCTGTGATATTTCAAAAATTCCTCAAATCAGGTCTGGACGCCGTGGCCTAGATCAATCTCCTGTTTCTCTTTTTATCAGTCATCAAACCCCGGAGCGCATAGCACGCACCAACCCATGGTATACCCAGCTCCTTTCCCCTCCACTCATTTCCCGTCCCCAGCCCTGAGCCATGTTAGCACCCGAATCAATTGTCTCTTGGGGGATCTTGGTTAGACTTATCCCCAGGCGTTAAGGGGGTTGCCAATCTCGCCATTTCTGGAGAGACGGCAACCAGGACTGCCGTCCATAGGCCTGCCCTTTTTCGTCCAACGAGTGCCGAGGCCTAGGTGAGGCAGGGAATAGACCACCAATGCAGGTCTTCCACGATCCCGGACAAGCACAAAACTTTGACTCCAACACGAGATGGGTCCCGGTATCGCTTCAGACCTGTTCAGCCAGTCCATCCCTCCCACCCAGAGCCTTTGCGTGTGTCGCCCGAGTTGTCTCCCACTCACGAGCCACAACCGTCATTTACACAGCCACCCAGAGTTCGGCGAATTGGATCCCAGTCTGTGTACTCTCAGGCATTCGGCGGAAGCTCTCTCCGTTTGAATCGCACGACCTCCTTGGACTAGTTTTTGTTTCCTCTCCGTGCTCGAAACGCAATGGAGGGCATTCCGCGCGGACAAAAGACATCCATGAAAAACCGCGCTCTCATCCGGTGCTTCTTGCTAGAGCAACATCACCGGGCAACTGTTGGGTCCCGGCGGGATCAACGTGGACTTGGCGTCCCCCGATGCCGTGGGTTAGAACCCACGACTGGAGGCTGATGCGCCTGGCCAGATCACATGCGGACATGTCACATCCGTGGCAACTGCCGTGGGTGTGGCTCGGAGAGAAGCCGACTGGCTGCTGAGTCTGATGCTGGCAATTTCTTGGCTGCTGAGTGAGTCCCGGGGTGGTGCACTGAACAAGTGGGTGCCGAGAGCTGGGCGTGGCGATGAGATTCGTCAGATCGAAAAGTTTCTGTTTGTAGGCCTGGAAACATCGCAGTACTTTCGTACGACCGGCGAGTGGAGTCCAAGGCTGGTTGTAGATGGATTGAAACTTCGATGTTGACCGTTCGTGGCAAACGCAATGCTCCTTCCGCTTGTCCGTAGCAACACCCCAAGACAATAGCCTGTTGCCAGCTCGACCCCGCAAGCCGAGTCTGCCATCTTCTCCGGGCGACCTATTCTTGGCCAGAGCTCTGGTTCCAGCGGATAGGTCCTGACGAGTGGCCTCAGACCAGAGGCTCTTACCCATACGACTCATAGTAACCCCCTTTCGCGCACCAAACGGTGACTGGAATGTGTTCCCTGCCAGTCCATCCACCACGACCCTCGAATGCGTTACCACTTTTCAGCGGCGTAGCATCGAGGAGCAGGGCGGATTTAAAAGACAGATTCGACGACTGCGGGCGCAAGACTTGAACCAAAAGGATACTTAGGGTTAAGTTCCGAAGCTCATTCTCTCAGCTGGACTGAATTGTCTGGTATAGACAACCATAAGCCATGATGATTCCATCCGCGGCAAGCTCAATGTCCTGATTCAGGTAGAGATGCGACGCATCACGGGGTGTCAGCCCTGGCTGAGAGGTCTACGATAGACATTCCGAGGAAAATGAGAGTCGGAGAACTGATGGAGAGGTGTCGTGCGAAGGCGAGCCCTTGTCCAGTTGCAGTGGATGTCAGGCGAGAGAACTTCCTTTTGCCGACTGCGACGAGGCGCACGCAGCTGTTTTCCAAGGTCGTATCTCGAATTATTCTCCGGTGGAAGCTGCGTATCCGGTGGTGATTCTTGCTGTTGAAGACGCGTCAAGCTGGCTTTTCAGCAGGTGTTGAGGAGGAACCGAGCTGTAAAAGTGAGGTGGAAATCCAAGGTCACGCTGGGTGCCAGACGAAGGGGAAGGAGCACTGACACGACGCGTATGGTGTAGTCGCGCACGCGCAGACACGTGACACTCGGAAGGAACATACAGTGTAAGTTAGAACCGCACTGTATGCACTTTACTGGCTACCGAAGCTGAATTACTAAAGCAAGTGTAAATCCAGTATCTTCAACTCTGCATCCAGCAAAGATGGAACCAAACACACCTGAAAAGGACCCTCGCTCCAAATTAGTCGACGAAATTCTCAGCACCGGTAAGCGGGCGTTTAATCCGTCATCCGACGCTGCTTCTCGAACAGCCGCCCAAGAAGAATTTCAAAAGCTCATCGACGGGTACGTGGGTGCAGTGAGGCCCCATGTCAGGCGAAACCTTCTGACGAGGGACTAGGAATGGCTCTTGGAACTTACTGCCTGTCTTGAACGCCTTGATCAAGCCGAAAATTGCGCCAGAATGGCTACGACCAGAGCTCATGAAGATACTGACCCTGGTTCCTCTCCGACCTGACGGCGTGAGAGGAACCATGGAGTTCATCTTCTCAGTGCACCCGAGCAGCACCCTTAAAGCATCCGAGGCAGCCACTCCTCAGAAAAGAGGCGCCAATATCACCCAGGAAGCCATGGCTGTCGTCACTCGTATTCTCACCTCCCCACCAGCAACTGTACCACCTGAAGATTGGTTCTCAAAGGTTGCGCCCCAGTTGATTGTGCTGCTGGACGGAAACGAAGGGGCAGAACTTAGTGTAGCAGCGGCACAGATTATCATGTTTGGAGTACTGGGTAGGAAACAATTTGGCGCACCAGGTAGTAGCCTTGCCTTCATCCAGAGGCTAGAAGCCATGCTGACGCTGCTTCAGGAACACCTGGGTGGAATGTCTTTGTTGAGCCTCTGTTGCGCAACTTGGATCCATCTCGCAAAAGCAACAATGTTGCGCTGCATATCAAAACCGAAGAAACCGAGATTGTTGATTTGAGTGAAAAGGCCGTCCTGGTTACTGCCGACGATCTCTTCATCACATTGCGCCGCATGTCGTCGATGATTAACTCCACACCGTACCCAGCACAGACCAAAAGAATGCTTGACCCGGTTCTCGCACAACTATGGGCTATATCGTGTCAGAGCAAGGGCAACAAAAGAACCGAGGACCGATATTCGAAGCCATCGAGATCATTGCTTCACACATTCCTGAAACTAAGTGTTTCGGTGTCGAAGTTACATGAGGTCGTCGAAAACCTGCTATATCAAGGAGAGTATACCAAAATACCACAGTGGCGATATCAATCGAATTCTGACGGCGATCTTCAAATATGTGCCATTCGGCTGGGCCAGGGATCACAAGCCCCAGAACTAGACTGGACTGAGATCCAGACACGCTCCGAGGCTCTCATACGTCTCTTGACGGCGAGTTGCACACCCGAAGAAACATCGACCTTCTTTCTAGACCTCCTTGGCCGATGGTTCCAATCGACGGTCACAACTCAAAAGCCAGAAATTCTCACCAAAGCGGAAGACAGCCAGGATCAGGGTGATATCAAGCAACTTCTCGAGATTACAATCTTGCAGAAGATGCTGGAACAAATCCCAGACAAGCTGATCAGCCGCGTAACGCAAGTTACTGAGCTGGTGGCTCAGATCCTGGATCCCAGCGGCCTCCAAGACCAGTCTGACGATATCATCGCGGTTGCTTTAAGCTTGTTCAACTTAGTCATCACAGCCCCAAGCTTCAAAAAGTCAAACCTGAAGACTGAAGTCCTACAAGCTCTTGAAACGTCCCTTGCTAAACTTGGCGCAGCGGGACGCCCTGAAGTTTCTCCTACAGCGAAGAACCTGACGCTCTTGCTAAGATACCGTGAGGCTATCGATCCCGCAGAAGAGGGCGCTTTTGTGCCTACCGATAAGCAAATTGAGGACAGGCGAACGTACAAGCTTGCGCTGGAGTACATTACTCAAGCAGATAATCCTCCGCCGATCCGCTCCGAGGGAATCAACTTGATATCGGGCCTAGTGGCCTCTGATAGTTCTGTCTTGGACGTGCAAGCCACCCTCGTTCTCCTTTCGTCTCTACTTCAAGACAGCGAAGACTTTATCAATCTCCGGGTTGTGAAGCTTCTGACCCAACTGGCGAACAAACACCCCAAAGCAACTACACAGGAGATCCTTGAGCATTACCTGGACTCGAAGGAAATCTCGTCAACGGATGTCCGCTTACGCTTCGGAGAGGCCTTGGTTCAAGTGATTGAGCGCCTCGGCGAGACTTTTGCCGGTGACGTTGCGAGGCGTGTGTCTGAAACATTGCTGTCGATTGCTGGAAGGCGAGGTCATCGGCCAAAGACGGAGGCAAAGCAGTCCCGGGAGAAACGCCTGCAGGACATGAAGAAGAAGCAGGCGGAGGATGCGTGGGGAGGGGATGTTCCAGATCTCAGTGATGATCTGACCGAAGAAGAGCTGGCCAAGAACGAGATACTGACTCAGATTGTTGAGGGGTGGGAGAGCAAGAGAGGCAGCGAAGACGTCCGTATGCGAGCATCTGCTCTTTCGATCTTCTCCGTCGGCCTCGAAACCAATATTGCGGGCATTGGGCCTGACCTCGTGTCCATCGCAGTGGACCTCTGCATCAATGTGCTGGCGCTGGAGCGGGAAATCGAAAAAGGGATCATCCGGCGTGCAGCCATCTTGGCTGTTCTGGGCTTCGTCAAGGCCCTTGATGCTGCCAAACAATCAGGTAGGAGGCTCGGTTTCGGATTGACCGACCAGAGCCGGGAGGACATTATGAGGACTCTGAAATACGTTGCAGTCACAGACAATGATGGTCTAGTTCAGCAGCACGCTCGAGATGTGATTGAGAGTTTGGAGAATTGGCAACTGTCCTCCATGGTCGCTTCGGGATACAATACGGGAGAACCAAGTATTGGGAGACTGGCAGGCTTGACCATCGACCAAGACCGATCACTCCCTTCTGTCAATACGAAGCGTCCTAGGATAGAAGAGATTGAGTAGTTTAGTCAGCGAATCCGTAACTTGCCTCCTAATTGAGAACAAAAAGGAAGTCAAATTCTGGAAATCCTGCTGGCTGGTCTTATCTTCCTCTAGCTAAGAACCCTATTGAAGGGTTCAACGAAGTGTTAAAGTGATCCGGGCTAGGTAGAACGGCCAGACTCATGGGACCGTACACCCGACTCACAGAAATCATATAGCAGCATAATATGTATATAACGTATCACGTGATATCGCGTTATCCGAAAAGGGTATTCCGTCATAACGATAGCACTCTAGCATGTTGAGGGGAACTTTGTCCATGTACTCCGTACACAACAGTACCTTTCATAATTCGCCCCCGAGCTAGGCGCGTGCCTCGACCCTCCCCACGTCGCGATCTTCTCGCCACACCGCGATAATGGCTCCGGCCCGAATCATCGCGGACTCGGATGATTCCGACGACGATTTCGAATCACCAAACAGTCCCTCGAAACCTACTACGACTTCCGCGATACCGAGCCAAGGCCGCTCCTCCGACCCCGTTAGTGTCGCGACCAACTCTACCGACCCCAAGTTCTTCCAGGCCATCTACACTGAGCAACAGCGTGCGGCAGTGGCCAGCGACACGTTGCGAAAACCAGACGAATCTTCCTTATCCAACGGTGCAGCGCCCAGCTCTATACCAGCTATGCCAGTAGCGGACAGACCGCAATTGGAGAGGAACGACACTGGTACTTCCTCGCTCACCTCAGCCAGCGATCTCATTACGGGGTTGGACAGCGCCGAGGAAAGGGAACCAGAGGTGGTGGACCTTACGGAAGTCACAGCGTCGCCCAAGATGACTGTTGCTCATGCAACTCCCGACGATATGTGGGATGTTCCCAGCAGCCCCGTCGGGGACAGCCGAGCGCCTCTCGCCAGTCTCGCAAAGAGCAGAACCTCAACCAGCGGGACGAAAAGAAAGCGAGTGAACAACGTGGAGTTCACGTCCCCGGTGGCTATCGATATGCCTTCGCAGGGCTCCACGCAGCCATTCGACACTACCCCGGCCGCCGCGAGGATGGAGAACGGGAAGAGGGCCAAACTCAGGAACCCGGACTCGTCGTTACCGGCCGAGGAAGACGACGTTGACATGGTGGTGGTCCCACACGCAGCCGCGGTACCGTCGTTTGGCGACCTCGTCTCTGGCCAGAAGCCTGTTTCGATGTACATCGTGTCTCAAACACTGAGCGCAAGCCAAAAGTTGGAATATGAATACCACTCAGTTGGCCCGTCTCCGGAAGATCCAGGACCTACACCTACGCAGCCGTTTTCGACCATGCAAGCTGCGGCTAGGTCCAGCGGGGCCACGACTATCGCATACTCTACGCCGAGCCAGACGAGAGCGATTGGCTTGCCTCCAGCGCATGCCGAAAGCCATGTTACACTGGACACAGTTCAAGAGCAGACTCAGCAAGGTTTCGGGGCATCAGTCGATCCAGAGGCAACAATAGAGATACAATCATCCCCGGATATCATATCTGCAGCATCGGTCCGTCGGAAAAGAAGAAACGTGAGGGACGAACCGCCACAGACGACAGAGTCTCACCGGGAAGACGAAGGCTGGGATTCCGACGACATTGGTTTCCATCGAGAATCGTACAAGCCTCGTGTCAGTCGACGCAGAGGTAGTGACTCTAGCCGACAGGACGAGGCTGAGATGCCAGGGAAGATTGAGATTCCCGTGGCTGATATGGGCCCAGCCGCGCAATTGCCCCTCGAGGAGCCCGCTTCCCTAAAAGAGCCCGCTTCAACGAGTACGACGAAACCAAAAAAGAGAGGACGGCCGAGAAAGTCGGATACGGCTATATCAGAGAGCCCAGCACCGGCCGAGACCTCAACTATGCCACAGATTACCGATACAAGCGAGACGGTGAAGGATGCTGCCGCAGGAACAGAGGCCGCAACGGCAGCCACACCGACGACCACCAAGAAGAAGCGCGGGCGGCCAAAGAAGGCAGACAACAACGCATCAGAAAGCGTGCAGCAAGCGACTGAGAAGCCGCATGCACCTGAAGTGGAGCATGCGGGTGACGCCCCATCAGGCAAGGCGGCAAAGCGCTCCAAGGGCCGCGGCGAGCACGTCGATGCGCAGCAGCAGGAAGGTTGCACAGCAGATGCGGGTAGCGGGCCCCGAGAACAGGGCGGCAGCGATCGGGTGCTGCAGCCAGTGACGCCTAATGCGGCGCTCAGCAAGTCTGGTTCCGACGGACTGGGACCGCAAAAGAGCGCGGCAGCAGAGGGGAAAGGAGCGGCGACGAAGGAGACTCCTGCGCAGGCGGATGGCGACAAGTCTGGGACGTCGGGTAAGACAGAGGGAAAGCAGAGGTTGTCGACGCCTGCGTCTTTATCGGCGACGAAGCCCATCTATCGGGTGGGACTGAGCAAGAGGTCGAGGATTGCGCCGTTGCTCAAGTCGCTCAAAAAGTGAAGGGGCATCGATTGAGCCTTGCAGCGGTTTTCAAGGGATGGACGGCGCCATGGTCTGTGATATTTTTACCTCATTTTCTCACAAGATACCCAATGATATGGGCAACAGGCGTTAGAGGGCAAGCGATATAAGGAATATTCGGGTGGTATCCGGATGACACGCAGTACCTTATGCTTCATGTTTCGGGGGTATTCGTCGAGGTCAATTAGGCCGATTGGCTATTTTATCGGGTGATGCGGCACGCCTCCATAGACCACATTCGCAGTCGAGTACCATCGAGTGAGACAGGATGTCTTGCGGTATCACATTACGAAACAATGATAATGCGCTTGGGCGGTTCCAAAGGCCTCTCCAGATGTTTTTGAGATTTCTTTTTCGCAAATTCAAGTTGGCAACACATGTGGCTTGGAATCCAGCCGAGTCATACTGAAGGAATGGGAAGCAAATGGCACCATCAGCCGCCGTGCAGCAGCGCGATGGTTCTATTGACTTTTGACATGCCACGAGCCCCATTGGGAAAGAGGGGTGATGGAGGGGTAGTCACTAGGGATATTGGTGGACAGTCGGCGGGCATACGCTTTTGCATGTCTGAGGCGGCACGACTGAATGAATTCTGCAGCGCCGACGTGCCACTTCTCGAAAGCGAATGCTATCATGCCTCTTTCAAGGATGAGACGAGCTGAAAGCAGATGGTGGTGACGGGCAGGGTGGAAGTTGGATGTTGGATGGTCAGGAGCACGCACGGTCAGCGGTCGGTCCCCTGTCGACGAACAGATGAAGGCGCCATCTGGAAGGAAACGCCAGGGCAGTCATTGACCAATGAGACTGCGCGATTTGAGCATTCCATAACCCACCAATCCCAGCCCCTTGGCGTCCCGTCATCGTTGAATTATGTCAGTTTGCTAAGTACCTACCTTAAGTATGTACCATACTTGTAGTACACCGTCCAAGGTGTAAGGTGGACATGGGCAACCCCGCGCCTCTTTGGCACCCTTCATTTTTGGTGCGGGGCAAATTTTTCACATTGGACTCAGTCACTGAGAGAGAGGAGGGGCAGGGGCAGACGCTGTCACACAGTCACAGTGAACTCGGAGGAGGAACGGGACCGCCCACAACACCGGGCCACCTTTGAGGGGTGACCGACTCGTCGAGACCGACTTTCGGCCGCTTGTCTCCAGGTCGTTGCTACCGCAGTGCCGCTGGTGTGTGTGTGACTCGCCCTCTCTCTTTTTTTTTTCTCTTGCCCTTTTCGTCCGAATGCTTCCAAGATCTCAACGCCATCCTCTTTTCTCTCTCTCTCCCTCTAAATCAAAGAGATCGTGCATTTTTCGGCAGACAAGAGACGAGCTTTTCTTGCCGTCTTCTCCCCTCTCTTTCCCTCTTTTCTGTGCTGCCATTGGGCTTCTCCCCCGCCCCCCATCTTTCATTCTGCCCATTCCACCTCAACTCCCCCTCCTTCACCGCATACCGCACATCGCAGACGCACACGCAGACGCAGCTATCACCATGGCCACCAACGGTACCAAAGGCGAAGCCGCCGCCAACACCACCCACACTACCTCCCAGCGGTATCTCAGCACCCGCGGAGAGGACAGCGGCGTATGATATTGCCCCTTTCTCCCCTCCATCGCCTGCGCATACCTCTCCTTCCTCCAAAAGCCAGCTTCATCTCGGCGCGCGCGCGCACCGCTAGATATGACGCTCGAGGCCACGCAGCTGCTGACCGCATACAATTCCAGTTCTCCTTCGAGGAGGTCGTTCTCAAGGGCCTCGCCAGCGATGGCGGCCTGTTCATCCCTGAGCACATCCCCCAGGTCAATGACTGGCAATCCTGGAAAGACCTGGCCTTCCCCGACCTCGCCCACAAGATCCTGTCTCTGTACATCTCTCCCTCCGAGATCCCCTCCGCCGACCTCAAGGGCATCATCGACCGAAGCTATTCCACCTTTAGAGCCCCCGAGACCACCCCCCTCCGCCACCTCAACGACAACCTCTACCTCCTCGAGCTGTTCCACGGCCCCACCTTTGCCTTCAAGGACGTTGCTCTGCAGTTCCTCGGCAACCTGTTTGAGTACTTCTTGGTGCGCAAGAACGAGGGCAGGACTGGAAAGGGTATGCTATGCGCCTCTTCGTCTCCGGAACCTTGCGGGCCGCCACGGCCTCAAAAGATACCATGCAATGGCAATTGGCACATGTGGGGACTAGCTAACACGTTGCGCAGACAGACATCATCTGACTGTTGTCGGTGCCACGAGCGGTGACACCGGTTCTGCCGCCATCTACGGTCTGCGAGGCAAGAAGGATGTCTCCGTCTTCATTCTCCACCCCAAGGGTCGCGTGAGCCCCATCCAGGAGGCCCAGATGACTACCGTCCTGGACGAGAACGTCCACAACCTGGCTGTCACTGGCACGTTCGACGATTGCCAAGTAAGTCTTTTCTCGCGCGCCTACATAACCCCTTGTCGAACGGCACTCCCTAACCCCGAGTCACCTAGGACATTGTCAAGGCTCTCTTCGCCGACCCCGACATCAACTCGACCCACAACCTCGGTGCCGTCAACTCCATCAACTGGGCGCGTATCCTGGCCCAGATCGTCTACTACTTCCACTCCTACTTCTCCCTCGTCAAGTCTTCCGAGACCTTCAACCTCGGCGACAAAGTCCGCTTCGTCGTGCCCACGGGTAACTTTGGCGACATCCTCGCCGGCTACTTTGCCTACCGCATGGGTCTGCCCGTCGACAAGCTCGTCATCGCGACCAACGAGAACGACATCCTGCACAGATTCTGGACGACCGGCAAGTACGAGAAGCAGCCCGCCCCGCCTGCGGAAGCCGCCGGTGGCCTGGCCCAAGACGGCGTCAAGGCGCACGAGGACGGCGTCAAGGAGACGCTCAGCCCCGCCATGGACATTCTCGTCTCAAGTAACTTTGAGCGCCTGCTGTGGTTCCTGGCCTACGAGTTCGCCTCTAGCGCGGGAATGGACGACGAGTGGAACAAGAGGCAGGCCGGCCAGGAGGTGTCCTCGTGGCTCAAGGACCTCAAGACAAAGGGCGGCTTCGGCCCCGTCTACCAGGACGTGCTCAACTCGGCCCGCCGCGACTTTGAGAGCGAGCGCGTCAGCGACCCCCAGACCGTCGAGACCATCAAGAGCTACTATAACAAGATTGGCTACGTCCTCGACCCCCACTCCGCCATTGGCGTGTCCGCCTCGGAGCGTTCCGTCAGCCGCGCCGGCGCAGAGGTGCCGCACATTTCGCTCTCCACGGCCCACCCGGCCAAGTTTGCCGGCGCCGTCGACCTGGCTCTCAAGGACGAGGAGGGCTTCGACTTCAAGGCCAAGGTGCTGCCGTCAGAATTCGTCGGCTTGGAGGACAAGGAGAAGAGGGTGACGGAGATTGTCAACGATTGGCAAAAGGTGCGGGAGGTTGTCAGGGCGCAGGTCGACGAGGAGCTCAAGGCTGCCGAGAGCTGAAGCTGAAGCTGAAGGGAAGGTTTTGGAATACCATGAGAGTGTGGGAGCATATAAAAAACAACATTAGAAGCATGCAAAGGTTGTTGGCCTGGCTTCCATGCGGGACCTTTCGTCTTTCCACAAGACGAGAAGTCTTGTTGAGAAGGGAATCCAGAGCACCAAACAAGAGAGGGCGCTTTTTTCTTTCCGGAATGGTTTACCTGTGGTTTGCGATTAGAGGCCTCCTCGGTACGGCCTTGGTGTCTTGATTTCCTTCGTCATGCCCATAGAGGAGGAGGAGGCTTTAGGGACTGGCATGCGTGCGATGATGTCGTCGGATGGCAAAAGGGTTCGGCGGAAGAGTGATAGAGGGAGAGAGGGCGCACTTACTAGGCATTGCATGGGTGTTTGTCTTGGCTTGAAAGTCATTGCTATTCCACCCCCTGAATGTGTTGAACAATACAAAAGCAAACCAAAGTACTGCTGCTCCTATACCACTCTTTCTTTTGTAGAGTGGCGAGCGTCCATTGAATGACACGATACTTGATCTTTACTCAGTGATGGATGACCTCTTTGCCGGATAACATACCCCGCGCTGGGGATATGAGATGGAAGCTGGGGCAAGGTACAATCAGGTACTAAGGTTTGGATGGCCATAATTGAAGTAGTTGTCGTCCAAACCATCAAAGCAACGGCACATGTCAAACCGTTTTCCCGTGAGGGCCACACCCCACTGATTGACCGCTGCTTCCCGCCTCCCGCCCTCCGCGTCATTCTCAGCGCTTTGTTTGTGTGATGTGAAATTCGTTTGGGAGTGCTTAAATTTTTAGGTTGTAGCCAACCGGATTTGCGGAACGGGCGTGGCGTTTCGTTGAGGCGCCGGAGGCCTTCCAGCGATGTCTCGCCAGAGGAGGGGAGGGTAAGCCGCCGGAGTCAGTTGGTTGATTTGAGTGTCACGCTGGAGAGGAGTGGTGGACGACGTTGATTTCGTTTCTTTTTAGTTGCGTTTGTGAGTTTGAGATGAAGCGGTGAAAGAGATGGCGATGATGATGGTGACGATGGGAAGGTGACGGTGGGATAGTGACGGCGCGATGGTGATGAAGTTTGCTTTACGTGCTTGAGGTATTTGTTGCATTTCATGTGATGAGAAGAGGAAGACGGAAATGTCTATAAGAAGCTGCGTCTGTTGTCTCGGTGGACAGCCCTCTTGATAGATCATCCAGACATCACACTCTCCTCAAATATTCCATCAACTTTACAACGTTTACAACGCGAAATCCGTCATCATGCCTAACCAGATGACCAAAGACGATGCCTCCCGCATCCAGTCCAGCCAGGTCCGTCACTTCCCCCCTCCCCCCTCCTCCCGTGGTCTCTACCTCACTGCCTGAGATAATCAGGGTCTTGATGCTAGCTGGACGAGATTCGGTGAAGACTTGGGTCTACTGATATTAACATTCAACGATTTTCAATATAGGACAAGGGCGGCAAAGACATGTCCTCGGGCGGCTTCGCCGCCAGAGCCCAAGGCGCGGGCGACAGAAACGC